CGAGATTGTTCTGCAAAGGGGTTCCAGTCAGCAGCAGCTTATAGTAGATTTTGTAGCCATTCAGAATTCTGAAAAACTGAGCATTAATTTATAGATTAGAATCTATAACAATATAAATTGGTGATCAAAAAGTAAAAAAAAATTGATAATATTTTTTCACTGGAATCTTAAAATTTTTCACTGATATTTTCCACGAATATTTCTTTTTATTTGTTCTTATATTATTATTTTGAACAATGTACAAGAAAGAAAACATATAAAGTAAAATGAATAAAAATATATATTTTTTAAATCTGTACTATTGGGAAAAACTGGTATTAAATTATATATTTAACATTGGTATTAAATCATATAAATTGCATTGGATTTTTTATATTATATTTTATATATATTTTTTTGTTATGAATATGATGATGTCATAAATCTTTCCTTGAATTCTGTACCTTTGACTGGTTATTCTTCAGTCGGTGGGCTTCATCCACAACCAAACAGGCCCAGGTAATGGAGCCAAGTATTGCCTGATCAATGGTGATCAGTTCATATGATGTCAGCAGGACATGAAACTTTATCGGTGCGTCCTTCTGTGATAAGAAACTCTGATCAGAAACAATGAACCTCTGAATGAAACCTTTCAAAAATTAGGATGCTTTTTAAATTGTTTGGATGCTGAAATATGTAACCAGGTATATGTTAAAGAATGACATAAATCAGCTTTGGTTTTGGTGCAAAATACTGTTTTGAATGGGACACGGAATAAGGCATCAAAATGTCTATCAGGTTAGTCCACAGCACTCTCTCACCTTCATGCGGAAAACCTTGCGACCTGATTTGACGGTGCTGTCCTCGAAGGTAAATTCATTCTCACGTATGACAGCCCTGCTGTCTTTGTCCCCTATGTAAGTCACAACGTAGAAATTCGGAGCCCACATCTCAAACTCTCTCTCCCAGTTGATGATGGTGGAGAGTGGCGCACTGACCAGAAACGGCCCTTTGGAGTGACCCTGAAACAAGCAACTCAGTTACACTCTGTTCCCTTCTTCTCTAAAATGCATTTGAAAAAAAGTTCAATTGGCGCCCAGACCTCTTTGTAGAGTGAGTACAGGAACACTATAGTCTGCACAGTCTTGCCAAGCCCCATTTCATCAGCCAAGATTGTGTCGGTTCCTTGGGCCCAAGAGAATCGCAACCAGTTCAGGCCTTCCAGTTGGTATGGGTGCAAAGTTCCCCCTGTGTCATCAATGTACCATGGCTGCTGTTCAAACTTGATGGTAGGCTGTGACCAATGACACATAAATAGGAGAGAATGATAAATGAAAAAATAACTGAAAAAGTGTCAAATCATAAAGCAAAATAAATTCAGCCATATATTCATTAAGCAAAATAGCAATTGCACTCACATCCACAACTGGAGTGTCTGGTGGAGGTTCTCTCCTCTTTCCTTCCTCTTTGAGTCTCTTTCCCTTTCTGAACAGCAGGGGGTGATGGCTTTCACCGAGCACATGATCCCTGGTCAAATCAGAGTGAGTGTATAGCACTTTTCACACACTTTATGTCCCATTTCTTCATTATAGGCACAAATCTTTTTTTCTTTCACACATATTTTCTTTTACTTTGAGAGCTATCAGGATGCTAGCATGAACCTAGGATAGGAACCTAGGATATATATATATATATTTGTA